TGTCGTTACTAGGTTATACATTACTTTCAATGGTGCCAGAGCACACCTTATTTTCTTCGAAGTACCAACACGTATACAATTACATCATAATGCAGATAATAATCTTATCTGCTTACCCTCACATCTGAGGGAGACATGAGTTGTAGTTTTTGCATGTATCTTCAGGATACATATTTCATAATTTGCCCCTCCCCCTTGTTGCTACTATGACTGAGGATTAGAAATAACATGACTCATTTACCAGTTAATGGAAAATAAGAATGAAAGAAAGCCATATTTTAGGGATCTAGAGTCACTTCTTATGAGATAGGTGGCATATAAGTTGAATAATAAATACATTTCCTTAGGTACCTTTAATTTGATCAAACATGATTCCCTCTATGTTTTGTCAATCAAGAACAAAGTCTCACTTTGATGTATTACGGTTTTTATATGTCTGCTATCTCGAGGGAATCATAGACCATCATTGGTTTGAATTAGCAATGGGATGCTTTATAGGAAAAATATAAATAAATGTGAAAGAATTGTCAAAATCTATGTTTAAAGAAATGATTTATTCTTTTGCATATGTTTTCATGGAATATGTGTCGTTTCTTTAGATTACCCTTTAAATGCTGAGTCTTATAATTCTGCATCTTCATTTGGCCAGTCAAGTTCGTCATTCTCTTACGTACCACTAGGTGGAAATGTGAGTATTTTTATTATGTTGGTTGCACAGTCAGTCACATGTTTAGACTGGATTTGGAACTTTTATCCACCTATGGAATTCTTTCCAAGAACCATATGCAGATGTTGCTGTTTGATGGTATTAAAGATATTGTTGCAGGTGTAAGTGTCAACAGCTCGAGAATCCAAATAAAACTCCAGAATAATTCCATTTCTGAAAAGCTTACTGTTTATTGAATACACTGCATGGTTATGTCAAAGCAAAACTAATTCTGAAGTTCCCACACCAATTCATAGACTTAAACAATAGTTTTCCCAGCCAACCCCCCAACGTAATCTATATCAATAAGTCCACTTTGTTATGGGAACCATCTACTTCAAATCCACACCTGTTCTGGTGTCTTTGACAAGGCTTCAAGCTCCCACAGTCTGCAGCTGAATCGAATAAGTTTCATTTCTCCATCTACCCACATGAAAGTAATCCCTCTCCCCCCCTTTATCTAAAGGCAAGTTGAAATGCAGAGGCACGTAGCTGCCAAAGGGTCATCCTTGACAGTAAGCTGTTCCAAGTAAAGCTGCCTTTTGCAATTAACTGATGGTGGTTTTGTCAATGCCAAAGGCATTCAAGTGGTGCTCCAGATGTTTTGGGATTGCACCCAAGGTGCCTGTTACAATGGGTTGCTGTGTCTTTGCTGCAACCGTTCTATTTCTATTTACAGACCTTTGTATTTTGTGATTTTCTCCAGTTCTTTCTCTTCTCTTCTGCAGTGTCCACTATCAAGACTCTGACTTTCTTATTGATAATTATTAAGCCTGGAGTGTTATGTGGCAGGTGCTTGTCTGTTTGTATTTTAAAGTCCCCTCTAGCTTTTCATTTTCTATTCCTTTTTGATTCCACCAATTATTGCTTGCAGGCAAATTGTATTTCCTATAGTTTTTCCAATGCACCATTGTTGCTACTTTTTCATGCCATTGTTTGTCATGCCATTGTCAAATCAGTCTGTCTGATCTTCTTGCAGCAGCTAATTAAGTGGTCCACTGTTTCTTTGGCTTCTTTGCAGAAATGGCATTTTCTGCCTTTTCAATTCTCGCTTTGAATGCATTTGTTCTTAAGGCTTGGTCTTGCCCTCTGTCTCTTTCTTTTCTGCTCTTAGCCATTGCTAGCTCTTGTTGTTATCTGCTTTGCCTGCTAGTTTTTTTTTAAGGTACTGGTCATATAACACTTTGCCTTGCCACCTCTCTTTTCTATTCTTCATCTGGTCTTTCTTCGAGACCAATTTGGTCTCTCCAGTAAGCCTTCAAGTTATACTAACTTCCATGCATTTTCCCTGTCCTTCAGTGAAGATGCACTGGCGGACATTCTTCCAGTGGCCTTTTTTGTTCCTCATTATAGTCCACTACACAGCCAGATATTTAGAATGGATTTGACATTTTTATCCACTTACCAAGTTCTTCCTGGAGACCTGGAATTCCACTCGAGTCATTTTCTGTTCCATATTAAAATTGCCCCTGGACACTGGATTGCATGACAGAGATAGCCAGGTCTATTACCAAAGCAACAAGGATAAAAATATGGGTTAAACCAGTAGTGGGATTCAGGCAGTTCGCACCACTTCGGCAGAACCGGTAGCTAATTTTTTGTTGCCCAGGCCCAGAATGGATTTCCAGAAGCAGCATCCACACAGAGAACCGGTTGTTCACATATTGTATTTGAATCCCACCACTGGGTTAAACCCAAAATAAAAATGGCATGTACAAAAATTCACCTGATGGGGGAAATAAATCACAGTCTATCTTGCAGGAGTCTGTTACTATGGCCAATATTAATAAACACAGCTTTAACTATCACATAGAATATCTTACTTGCCATATTGAGTCAGTCAGTGGGTTCTATACTGGGCCAAAATTATCAAGACGACAGAGGGAGACTGCAAAGAGACTGTCATCTCTTTAAATACCACTAGCTGCACCCTATATCTATTTAACAGGAAAAAAAAGTTCTTTATAGGAATCTGTGGTAAAGTGAATACAATTAACAATAAATGAAAGAAAATGATAGTACTTGTATAATATACATATTCTTTGTATAATAGTGGAGTTACCCTGTTAATAAGTAGATATCCACTATTTGACAGAGTACAAAGGAAAGCCAACAATCCAAAGTATCTTCCATCTTCTTTTTTTTGAGGAATACAGATTCTTAAAAAAGAGTTTACCAGGAAATCTGTTGGTTATCAGGTGCATTACCTCCTTTTAGAGGAATCAAGCACCAGAGAGTTAACTGGCAGAATCTTAAGTCAGCATTTAAAGTTCTTTAGTTGCAAAGATGTGATCAAGTCATTCTCCTTAGTCTCAAATTTCAGTTGCTACTCAAGGGTAAGGGTAAGGCACTAATGAAGTGTTAAGCTGTGTTGCCTTTTCAGCACACATATCAAGCATCACTCTTCCAGAATATCTATAATATTCATAGTTATTCATGGGGGCCAGAAAGTGGGAGCAAATGACAAAACAGGAGTCACAACAACGTGATGCAAACCATGTGATTTATCTACTTGCCCCTGATGTTTCATTATTTTTTTTATCATTGTGATGTGTACTAAGACATTGATGGTACAGTTATCTATTGAGTATTAGAGAAATGGGATGTGTTTTTAGATATGGATGATATATATGCATAGTGATTAGTAGAACTGTGGATTTATAGATTTCTCTAAAGTATTTTTGTAGTCTATATCTTACATGAAAGTGTTATTTATATATAGGCAATCTTTCAATGTGTTATGTTACACAATTAAATGACAGTATTAATTTTTAACAGACTCTTGACCTACAATGAAAAGGAGATTATATGGACTTGTGAACAAGTATTTGAGATTCTGAAAATATCAGCTCTGTACAAACTCACCGAAGGATAAGAAGTGTGATTTCAAATGTGTATGTTTACCTGGTGATTGTTTTACAACTGTTTCTGCTTCTAAATTTATTTTTAATAATTTCAGGTTCTACAAAGGAAATGTGTCCCAGGTCGTGTAGTACACATCTGTAATCTTCCTGAAGGAAGTTGTACAGAGAATGATGTAATCAACCTTGGACTTCCCTTCGGAAAAGTCACTAATTATATTCTCATGAAATCTACCAATCAGGTATTTTTTTTTTACTTAAAGAAAAGTAAATACGTGAACATTTTGCTTAAATTTTGCACATTCTATAAAAAATGGTTAGGAACTCTGATGACGTAACTTGGAGTTGACAGGATTTGGAGTTGTAGAGGAAACAAGGTCTCTTTTTCTGCTTAGGAAAGTATACCATGACCATCATTTTGTGTGTTATGTTCAGTATACCTGAAGAGATCCAACAAGGTTCCTTTGCTAGGACTGTTGCGACTCTCTGTGTGTAATAGAGAGAGAAACAGAGGCAAGTAAGGTAGCTAGTAAACACTAACAAAGCCTCAGTCTTTTCCCTTCCTCCCTCTTTCTTTTCATTCAACTGTTTTTCTGGCTTGCAGAATATCTGTCAACCTAACTACTTACCTTCTACAACTGATTATCGTGATATCTTCTTTTCCTCTAGAATTGATTATGCCAGACTATTCCATTCGGGAAAGATGAATATGTATATGTGTGTTTGTGTGTGTGTTTTGTATGTGTGTATACTGTATATACTGTATTATGTATGTATGTATTTATGTATGCATGCATGTATATATATATGTGTGTAAATGTGTGTGTGTGTTTATAAATATGTTGAAATAATTTAGAAAAAATACATTTTAAAAATATAAACTTAATATACTATTGTAGTTTTTGGATTTGTCTTCTGTGTACATACTAAATAACTAAACTCTAAACAATTTTTTGAATGATCACAGGCTTTTTTAGAGATGGCCTATACCGAAGCAGCTCAGGCTATGGTAGAATATTATAAAGAGAAACCTGCAATGATAAATGATGATAAGTTACTCATAAGAATGTCTAAAAGATACAAAGAGCTTCAACTAAAGGTAATATCATTGTTTGTCATGTCATTCTGTTAATCTGGCTGCTCAGAAATGGTCTTCAACTGCACATTTTGGTTTACAGATAAAATTTAAGCATTTATCTTCTTTTTCTGAAACCATCTACTGTAGTGATTGATATGTATATGCATTGTTCATTGATGGAGCCTATTTCCTGTTCAATTTGTTTAAATATACCAAATGATGCAAACAAAATTTGTAAATCATGACTTCTTTTAATGTTTCTTTTCATTTGGTCTTTGACTTATTATGTGATTGACCAAGCAATTACATATTCCCCACAATTCAGAATACAAAACCCACCAAGTTTCCTTACTAACCTATGAAATATTTTTTTTTAAAAAAAATAAAAAAATAATTGGAGCCTTTTTTCTTAAAGGACCATTTCTACAGAACAGTTTATTGCAGTGGCTCTGTAGAGTGGGGGATTCACTGTGGAATAGATTTCTGATGCCTTCTTCATCTTCCTCTCTTTTTCTGGGATCCTTCCCATAGAATGTCTTATGGCAATCGCTTCTAGAGAAAAGAGCACACAGCACATTGTTGAGATAGATTTTTCATGCTTTCCTTTTCTTCTCTTCCATATCTCTGTACTAAAGATAAGCAATTCCATACCCATCCCTACATGGAGACAAGGCGATGTTGTGTCCTGATACCTTGTCTCTTCCAGAAATAATCACAAGCACATTTAACTATTTTCCCCCTTCAGATATTCCTCATTGTTTGGTAGACTTGGATATTCAGTGAGCCTAATATGTTATATGTTCAGAGCTGAGAAGTTCAGATGACGTCTTTGACTAAGAACTTTAAGAAAGGATATCAGTATTTTATTTTAATTCTGCTGACTTTCTCTTTTAATTAGGAACAAAATTAGGAACATAGTCTGGAATTAAATACACCGTCCATAGATTGTTGTAAAGGTGTAATGAGACCCCAGAGAGCCCCTCCCACTGGCAAGTTGGAGCAATTTTTTAGTAACAGTTCCCGTGATTTTTTTGCAAAGTTGCTTACACGTGTGTCTTCCAGTCATTAGTTTTATTATAGTTCATGCCACAATGTATATTGAGAATTGCAGTAGCATTTCCATTCGATAAGAAAAATTAAACTGAAGAGTATTCTATATGCAATATGAAAAAAAATATAAGAAAATGAAATTTATTATAAAGGATTAATTGATGAGTGCCATATTTATCAAGGGAGATAAGGCAGATAACTTACTAGCAGTAAGAGATTGGTTATTAAGAAAAAGTTGCTTACTTAAAAATGAAAAGAAAACCTAGAGGAGGGAAGGAGGCAAGAATAGTAAAACAAAAAGAGCAGTCATATAAGTAATAATTTGAATGAAGCTAATTGATTTTATGGAATGGAGTTGATGAATACTATAGGGAAGTGAAGGTGTAGATTGAACTACTATATGAATGAACAAAGTTATCATGAGCTGGCATCACATAAATTGTTCTGGATGCATAGAATACAAATTCATACCTTGGTGAGATTAGATGGTATGCTTCAATAATGAAGAAACCAGAATGAGGTTTGGAGAAAAAAATTAATATGGTAATAAATGGGATCTAAAGAGAAATTATTCTGCTAGACAATATGAATGGACAGGCGGGAAATTAGATCAAAAATGTTATTGGGCCATTTGAAGTACAGTGATTGTTTCCTAAATATTTGCTTAGGAAAAGTTGTTTGGTTTAAGCATTGATTATTTTCATACGTACAGGTAGTCCTTGCCTTATGACCATTCAAAGTAACAGTGGTGCTGAACCTGTCCCTGAAGTGCCCTCATGGTGGTGTGATCAAAATGTGGGTGCTTGGCAGCCCACCCACCCTTATGACCACAGGGCACTTCAACTCCCCCACCATACCCCTAAGCAATGCACATTTGACACCCTGCCCTCTGTGGGCCCTGCCACCCTAGCTGATATTCACTTTCTTCTTGCTCCCATTGCTGACCAAACATGCTCAGCCTGGTCCTTTGCAAGGTGGGTTGTTAGCCACATGAGGCATTCTTTCCAGATCACACATGGCAGTTTCCTTGCCAGACCTGGAAAAGAAGACCTCATGTGGCTGGCAGCTGTCTCACGAAGGGTGAGACCAGGCATGCCTCATCAGCAGTGGAAGCAAAAAGACAGTGGAGGTGAGCTGGGACAGTGGAATGAAGGGTGGTGAGGGTGATTGCGAATGTTAACTAAGGTGGGGTAGCTGCAGCTTTGCTTTGCACCACACTGCTGATCCATACTAGAGTTGGGCTTTGTACTGCAGTTCAGGAGTCTTTTGTAGCCTTGGAGTCATATGCACACCAAGAAACCCCTTTGTACCACACTGATGGGTCAGGCTCAGGTTGGGCTTTGTGCTGCAAAGGGTTTCATGCTGCAGCTCAAGAGCTTCTTGCATCGCCAGAGCTCTGGCGTGCCAAGAAGCCTCTTTGTGCTTCACTGCTGGGCCAGGCTGAGGGTGGGCTTCATACTATGAAGGGCTTTGCCCTGCCCCTCATGTGTCATTGCACTTTACATCTCTTACCAATGGAAATTCCATTCCCAGCTGTAGTTGTAAATTGAGGAGTACCTGTACACATCAACAAGGAATTAACTAAAAAGTACAACCAATTTGATTGTTTACGATGAAAACTGGAAAGAATTCGTGAAGGATGCAGTGGCGAGGATAGGCCATTAACTACATATGCTAGCCAACGTTATTTTTAAGAATGTTGAAGTATACATTTATTTACAGTTGCAATATGTTTATTTTGCTTAGAAACCAGGAAAGAATGTGGCAACAATAATCCAAAATATCCATTCTCAAAGAGAAAGAGATATGTTGAGAGAAGGAGACAGGTATTTTTTTCATATTGATATTGTTCTATTTTTGTGATGTACGGAAAAATAATGTGATTTCAGTAGAGGAGAAACTATTACTGGTCCTTCCAAATAATTTGGAAACAAGCTACAAATTTTAGAAAAAAAATTCATGCAAGATAGACTTTCAAATATAAGACTAGTAGTTCCATACAGTTTGAAGTTTTCTCCCATTTGAATAATAATGATATGTTATAAATACTGTTCACTTTGTTTAAAAAATATCACTTTTATTCTGCATGGACTGCTTATATCTATCTAATAAAAGTCCATGTAGGATAAAGGAAGAAGCCAGTTTTCCCTAACTTTTCTTGCAAAAAGTCACTTTGTTACTCCTTGTCTTTCCTGCTTCTGGAAAGTGTGGAACAGCTGAGCTATTCTTGCAAATGCTCCAGTAGTGAAGATCTTGGCTAGCCTTTTTGCAAAGGGGGAACATATCAGCAGCCAAGACACGGATAGCGATAGCCAGAAATGGAAGGATGCAGCATAGAGAGGCAGAGATGGGAAAATAGCTTTGCTTCAGGATCAGAGAACTTGGGATCATCCCATCTTTGCCTTAGGAATCAAGATAGATAAAGAGATCTAAATATCCTTTTCCTGAATAAATATCTAATATCACCACCAGAGCTGTTTAATTATATAAACCCAATTTATATTATTACTGTTAGTACTAGTATTGAGTTTCATCTTGACAGTGCTGTAATAGTTTTAGCATTTATTCAATTCTTAGACATATGGTGAATTTTTCCTGACCATAATAATATATTAACATTTTACGCTTGTTTCTGCTCCTCTGACTACATATACAGTTTATGATACAAACCACATGCCAAATATTATTATTCTAAGGCAAGCATGATATTCAATATTATTGACAATTTGAAATGTATATACTACTTCTAAAAACAGATAACCATAAAATAGCTGTAGACCTTAAGTAGCAGCTGATTTATTTATGCTTATATGCAACATGCCACTCTTTCCCTGTGCTGTAGATATGGATTGGAAAGGCCTCGTTCCCGCAGCCCCATAAACTGCTCACTTTCCCCAAGATCACGGACCCCAAGCTTCACTTCCTGTAGTTCCCCCCGTAGCCCATTAAGCACAAACCGAACAGAGTGGGGAAATGGAAGAGAGCCATGGGATCAGTTTCCTTATTCTCAGAGAGAGGAAGATAAAGAATTATTGCCTTGGAGAGAGAATGTGGAAGAGAAAAGAGATAGGAGTGACATGTGGACTCATGAAAGAAAACATTATTTACGGCACCTGGACTTGGAAGAGCACGTTGAAGCAACCCGAGGGCACAAAGAAAAATATTTAAGAGGGGGTTCACCCAGTGCAAAAGGGGCTTATCTTTTGCCTGCGTATAAGATGAGAGAAGAAGATAGTTACAGAAAATCATCTAAGCAAAAGTCTGATAAATATCAAAATCAAACACTGGATGTTGCTTTGAAGGGCAAAAGAAAGGAAGAGACAAGATCGAGAGAACATAAACATTCTCATTGTGAAGACACAGCTAAGGAGGAAATGTCAGAACAAAAGTCCATCATGATGCCTGACACTATCAGGCAAAAGCAAAGCGATAAAGACAAATTAAAAGACAATGCTAAAAAGGCAGAGGACATGACACCTGGTATAGCCGAAAGAAATAATGTAAAGAAAGGAAAAGGTATAGCCGAAAGAAATAATGTAAAGAAAGGAAAAGAAAATGGAAATGAAAATGAGGTAATAAGTACTATAAACTATCATGAATATAAAAATAATTATTTTAATTCATTATTATTCACATTAATTATGAAAGAACTTCAGTTGTTTTATAGACAAAACAACCACAAAAATCTTGCTAACAACATTTATTTTGTTTAATTAGACTACATTTATTTCTGCAAGCTCAGTAAGTACTCAAGCTAAACAACAACAAAAATAGCAAAACTCTTGTGGTATATTATAACTATATACTACTAAACTCTTCTGTCTATAACCTTTAACTAGATGAAATGGTGCATGATAAGCTAAAACCTTTTGAATCAAGGTAACTCAAATGGGCCGATTTACAAAACACATCCAAAATCCAGGATTATTGCTCTTATGGAATTGAAATTTGGCAGATTTTATATAAAATGGTTCAGGAATTCAGTTGTTACTGCTTAGCACAACTTGCATACACAGAAGAGTACTAAATGAGAATTTTTAGGAAGGTACAGGAAGTACAGGCAGACAAGACCATCTATAAGAAATTATTTAGAAGTATTATTTTTTTTTCTCAAACAATCTGTTATTTAAGATTAGGCCAAATTCTCCCTTAAGCCCTTCTCTTATCATTTCACAAAACAGAACTTGTGGGAAAAATTCTTTCTTTCTTAAAAGATTTCTCAGTTTGTAAATAGACATAAAATGCTCCCTATATAGCTTGAGACCTTTCCCCAGGATGGAAGGTGCTACCTGAGTAAATAGCTTTTTTTTGAACTTATGTATTGAATACCTTCTCCTCCAAATTTGGTCTACTCTTTACATTAATATCATTTAAATACCTGTAAAGTTTATTTAATGCTGTTTACATTTTAAGATGTGTTTTGATGCACTATATACTCATTATTATTACTTTTTATTCTATTTTATGATATGGTTTGAAAATTTTGTTAAATAAAATGTAAGTATTATTACTACATAAATCCATAATTATTTATTTATTAGCAAATATAAATAAATATTATTTATCATGGCATTTGAGTCAATGTAGATAAATATTATTATTTCTTATGGTTATTCATGCAAGTTAATATGTGAAGGCCATAGTAGGTGGCATTGAACCAGATGTTTTTTTTTTAAGTCTAGTATAGTTATCCCAAAGATGCTTTTTCACAAGGCAACTGGACTTTCTTGTTTTTCTTTGAAGATGTTTTGCTTCTCGAAATGTCTTCAAAGAAAAAAAAAAAGTCCAGTTGCCTCATGAAAAAGCATCTTTGGGATAACTATGACCTGGATGACTGAGAATCTGCATAGACATTTATCTGGTATAGGAACTAATCTGGGTCCAGATAGTGACATGTGTGTGCCTTCTTGAGGTCCTGAATGAAGCACAGGATATAAATCTAATAAATAAGTAATAAAGTAATAAAGACAGCGATCATGATTTATTCTTAAAATCAATTTGTAATAAGCAGTCTATATGTTTATTTATTGTAGTATTCCTAATAAAATTTGCCTTTTCGTTGCAGGACTGGGAGAGCGGAAGTGACATGGAAGCGGAAACTTGGTATCCAACCAATATGGAAGAGCTTGTAACTGTTGATGAGGTAGGAGAGGATGATCTTATTATGGAACCCGATATAACTGAACTTGAAGAAATAGTAACTGTAGGTCAGGAAGAGGAAGAATGTTCCCTAAGGAGTACCTTAGCTGCTGGATTGGAAGTAAAGAATGAACACGGTTTATTAAGTACAAAGGAAGACAAATCTGATATATTGGAAGCCAGCATAGAATCAGAGAAAGAAAATGCAGATGTAAGTGGCTCTGAATGTGATAATACAGTGACTAAAGCAACCCATCTAAACTCTGATACTGATGATAAACCAGATGAATTGCATGAAATTAGATCTGAAGAGCATTCAGATCAGCATGATAATGACAGAAAAATAGATGAAAGTTCTAATTTTCAGTTAAAACTGGAGACGCAGTACATATCTTCAGATCCTTCAAAGGAAGAACCCTTCCAGCAGAGTGAAACACTTGTAGATGATTATAAAGAGATAGAAACTCTGGAAATCAGGAATAATGAAGATAAGGATATCTTAGCAAAAAAATCTCAAGAAGAAAGAAACCATGGAAGTGAGGAAAAGCCAAAGACTCAAGGTATGTTGTTCCTTTTTCCTTATTTTTACATAAGCAATACATTTAAGTTTACTGTATTTCAATACAAATGTGTGTTACTCAAAGATTTTAACTTTCCGGGCAATGAGCTAGATTGATGAACTGATTGTCAACATTAAATCACATCAAATATTATCAAGGATATTATGTAAATGTTTAGCAAATACTCTTGAAGAGTTATCTTGTTATGACCTCTTCTAGGTTCCTACAATTTGAAACATTAGAATGCTATCTTAGATTACTTAGAATTGTCAATGTGAAGAATAATTATTCTTCATTTATGACTTGTTGATTTTTTTTTTAAAAAAGTTCTTAGGGATCTCATGAAGCAGGTTGCTATGAAATGGGTTTCTGGGTTCTCACATTTCATTTTAAACAGGATATCTGGGGAGATAAGAGCCTCTGCCTGTTTGCTTGGTCCTTATTCAGTCTAGCTAATTAAGTCAACCATTTTGCAACTGAATCCATGGTTCCTGGAGGTGATTAATGACTTTGTGAGTGAGGGAATTGCTTCCTTGAAGGCAGTTACTTAACTTTACTGAAAAAACCCTTCATAAATCAGCAAGAATGGTTTAATTATATCCTCTTATCATTTAGCGATCACAATTCATTTCTTAAATTAGAAGTGAAATGGTCACTAAGCAAACAAGTGACTGAAAGAGAGACCCAACAAGGATTACTGGTTGTTGCCATCTCATTTAGATAAAGTTTTCAAGTACAACTGCATCAGTGTTACTCTCACTTTGGCATGCATTGTTGTCAGGTTCATGAAACTGGATTGGAAGTGTGCCCATTGGTTGCAAAATTATTATTTTTTAAAAAAAATACTGTCATATTTATGGTCACTAAACAAAGTAGCCATTAAATGAAGCTATATATATCACTATCAAATATTCCATTATTTGCTAATGTGATAGAGAATTAGAAGTAATTGCATTTAAATTATTATCTGGCTCTATTTCAGTCAGACTTTCACCAGTTTATGTTACTGATATTGTTTTGATCATACTATTCAATATTATTGATTATAGAAACCTTCTGAGTAATCTATCTGGGCAAGGAATTGTGAGAACAATTTTAATGTAGTTCCAGTGTATTTGTTGTGACAGTTCTACAATTTTTCAGTTTTGCCTTCATATTTTAAGGATATTTTTGTTTGCTAGAAAATAATTTGATAGAAGTCTCCTATAGGAACTTTTTATTTAATAGGATAATATTCCAGAATATTTTATCACTAGGGTGTAACTGCACTTTGTGCTTTAGGATCATTGTACTTTAAGGTATTTGCAATATTACAATTTCCAAAATACTGGAATGTAACAATTTAACAGTTTCACCTAAATTCTTAAGAAAAAGTAGATGGAACAATGCATAGTAATTTTGGAGAACATCATATGAAAGAATCCCTGAGTGATCTAGAAAATGTTTTGTAGGTAGTATTCTAGGCTTAGGTGTATGTAAAGAAACTACTTTTATTCAAAATGTTCCTCTGTTTTTAAAGCAAATTGTAGGTATACAGAAACAAAAACTCCTGATCTCCCAGAAGTTGAATCAAAAAAGTTGTATTTTTCACCATCGTGGGAACAAGATGATGTATTTACGGAGCTCAACATTCCACTAGGTTTGTCTGATAGAAGTGATTCACATACAATGTTACTTTTTACAGTATCTTTATCTTACAGAACAATGTATCTTGAGTTTATTCAGAGAAGTTTTCTATCTTAAGAACAATATTTAAAACTCCAGATTCAAGAAAATACTGTGGTTAGACAGAATCTGAAAAATCACAGATGTCCAGATGTTCAATATGTAATGTCATGTATCTGATTCTGAACAGACTTAAGTTTCATTAATCAAGATGAGTGATGACAACAGTATGGATCAATTTCCTTTAATGAAACAGAGAAATCAGTTGATTTTTGCTAATTAAATTCAGGGAGGCAGCCTGCTGCAAGTAAGTGAATAAACAAAATATAAACACATTTTTTTGCTTAGCTGTTAGGATGGATAAAAATGATAATGAAGATAATGATACATATATGAAAATTGTGATAATCAAGGAGAGGAAAGATGAGAACTTCAACTTTCTGCATATTACATATTTAAATTGAAATGTTAAAAACTTAATTGGAATCACCAATCATGGTAAAGTAAATAGGATTAAATGTATGGATGAATGGTACTGACTGGATTTTATTATTAGCTGCAGATATCATACTAGGAGCCCAAAACAAGAGCAAACCTTTAAGGAATCTCAACAAAAAAACCAAAAGGAGAGAAAAATATTGAAAGAACTGAACGCTCACTTTAAAATGTTAAGTGACCATCGGTTTGATTGATTATTTAACTGCTGCATTTCCATCTTTTCCCCAAGTCAGAGCTATAAAAGAGAAAGAATTCCAGAATGAAAGGAAATGGAATTTCTCACTTCTTTTTTCCCTTCCATTCTTTAGAAACAGAGGATAAATTTAGTTTATTTTCAACTGTAATTCTTCCTTCTAATATTTGGATTTAAAACCCTCTTTTCTCTAAAAGGAACAAAAATAGACAAGGAATAAAAACGGTAATATGCTTTGTCCAGATCTTTTTATAAGAAATGCAGGTCTGGCATGTGGAATCTTCTTCCTCTAATCTTATAAATTGATCAAATAAAAAATAACATCAAATATTTACATATTTCTATAGTTCTTTTATTAATGCAGATGGCTCAAATGTTCTGTGTTGAATTTAAACATGTAATAATCGCAAGATGAAAATAATTAGATAGCATGTTTACTCACTGAATAATTAGACGTGGAAACATGAAAAAAAGCTGCTATTAGGTTTTCTGTGAAATGGTATCGGCTATGCTATATAGATAGTCCTCGAATTAGGACCACAATTGAGCCCAAAATTTCTGTTGTTAAGTGACTTTTGTCCCATTTTATGACATTTCTTGCCTCAGTTGTTAAGTGAATCTGACAAGCGAAATCAATGGGGAAGCCAGACAGTCATAAAAGGGGATCCCATGACCTTGGGACACAGCAATGATCATAAATATGAGTCAGTTGCCAATCATCTGAATTTTGATCACATGATCATGGGGTGCTGTAAAGGTTGTAACTGTGAAAAACAGTCATAAGTCACATTTTTCAGTACTGTTGTAACTTTGAACGGTCACTAAATGAACTGTTGTAAGTTGAGGACTACCTGTAGTTCATTAGGATCCAATGGATAATAATGAACTAGAGAAAAGCTCCCTGAAGATGGGCTGCAGCACGACTCCGAAAGCTCGGAAGACGAAACCTCTGGTTTTGGTGATCGTCCAGACTGGATCTTACAATATTATCCTGGGACACATATTCATAACAGTTCATTATTCAAATTGACAACAAGCTGCATTCAGCATTTTTTTTCTCCTATGCATCTTTTAAAAATTTTTCCTAATTATTATAATTCATTTTTTATAGGTGTGGAATTTGTTGTTCCCAGAACTGGCTACTACTGCAAACTTTGTGGACTTTTCTACACAAATGAAGATGCAGCAAAAATTCATCATTGTAGAAGTACTGTTCACTATAAAAATCTGCAGGTAATAAAATAAAATTATTATTTTATTCAGATTATTAAATTATCCAAACTACTGATAGTATATGGAAGATCTTTAGCCTGAAAATGTATTCTACTGTGGTATATGCATCATCATTGTTCTTCATTGCAGCGTTGTGTCTCCCCGCCCAGTTTAATTTTATTATAGTAGTGGTGGACTAGGAAGAGTATTTTAGAAAGCACACTCCATTATAGTAGAACAGAAAACTGCATGAAATCGGGTGAAAATTATATTACTTTAGTAGCATACAATCTCTTTCAGTTTGTAGAGGTTAGGTAGTTAAATACCAAGGTCAATATCAAATCTCTTGAGGAATAAAATGATAACTATGCTGAATCATTTACCAAATAATATAAAAGTAGAAGCCCCAAAGAGATTCCAAGAGAAGGCAATATGACTGGTAGCCAGCAGATTAATACCATGAGGCACCAAATTGGTTGCAGCTTCTGAACCATAAAAAATACTGTTTGGTCTCAAGGCATGATCTGAATTGTCTGAATTGGTTAAGGCAGGGGTAGGCAACCTTGGCTCTTTTCTGACTCGTGGACTTCAACTCCCAGAATTCCCGAGCCAGCATGGCTGGCTCGGGAATTCTGGGAGTTGAAGTCCACGAGTCATAAAAGAGCCAAGGTTGCCTACCCCTGGGTTAAGGAGACAACATCAGACTGAAGACTGTCACTGTTTCATTTAGTGACAGGCAGTGAAGTAAAACCGTTTGTCACTAAATGAAACAGTGACAGTGAAGTAAAACTTAGATTTTCACAGTGAAGTACAACAGCTTTTTATGTAATACTTTCTTGCAACAAGAAGCTTCGTATGATACTTAAAACCAATCATCCTGTCAATTCCTCTCTATATATAATAGTTCTAGCAATAGAAGCAGCCGACTTTGCATTTTCTAATTCAGTTTCAGAGATCCAAACATTACTTTCACTTGAATTCATGGTTCACAACTGTAGCAGTAAACTTTGTAGATTGCCTTCACTTTTTTTTTTCTTAAATGGGCATTAAAAATTACTAACAATAGGTTTTTATTACAATAAGCAGAGCTATGCCTTCAAGTTGCAGGGGGTCTTCATAATACTATGCTGTTGTTATTCCTCCCCTCTCTTATCTTGCAAACCAGAGTAACCACAATAGATATCCTGCCTCTAAGGTAGAATGGGAAGTTTACTCCTGTAATTTCACAACTTGAAACAAAACAGTATCTTCAGACTGATTCTTCATCCCATTGATTTCAAGTATTCTCACCTCTAATAGCTACTAGTTTACATGACTGATGTGAAGGACATATACATGAATCTGGAGAAACTATCACCAGTGCCTTCATTTATTACTGGAGAGTATCTGTTTCAGTTCAAGATGCTTCTCTTTGATCTTTCAACTCCAGCAAAAGAGTATTAAAATGCAACAGGGTTGTGGAAGTCCACTTAATACTTTCAAGTGAGATAAGTTTTTCATTACTTTAGTAATTACCTTCTGGCAGCTCCTTCAAAGGAAGAAGTAGTTGCTAATGCCAGAGCTATATTAGATCTAGCCTGCTTGCACTTTTGTGTCAACCAATTTGTTCCCACTTCCTGAGATTTTTGGAACTTATGGTGGATTCTGCAGTATTTTTTTTCCAGCAGGCAAGATTACCTCACACTCTATCTTGGCATTTTAGTCTACAGCAATAGTATCTGCTTGCATCCTCCAGAGTCTGCTGGGTTATGTGGCCACTTTAAACTTGCAGTAGATCACATTGAAGTTTTCCCAAGCGAATTAGCACCTCTTAACTTCAACCCTCTATTTATAACCATCCACAAACACAAGGTAGTATTACGTCCTGATATCCAGTTTCTTCCTCAGATTGTTCCTTTTTCTTCATTTTATGAAGAAAAAATACTAATTTATCAGGTTTTTTTTCAAGTCATATACTGCTGTTTACCCTAAGAGCTTTGAAGAATGTTGTCCTTCATCTACATGTCCACATCATGTAATAAAATAAAATAAAACAAATTTAGGAAGGTATACAAAATAGGGACTTGAAAATACCAAGAATACTAGGCAACTGTAACCTATCAGGACATCATTTCAGAGTTATTTCTTTTGCTACTAGTATACTCCCATGTGCTTTTCCTGACTCTTGCCCTGCCTCCCTCACATTCCTGCACACTCTCCCTGACTCATACCCTCATGCACACTCCCCAATCTGTGCTCCATCCTCACAGACCCTTCCTGGCTCTTGTCACATGTCTTGAGCATCCTCCCCAACCTACACCATCGGGCAGCTTCCCGGACCCGGACCTGTGCCATGCCTCTCATGCACTTCTGTTTACTCTCCTGAACCTTGTCATGTCTCTTGCTTATCAACTCACTCACTCCCCGTGGACCGTCGTGTAGGTGAATAAACAGATGACCGGTGCCTGATCGTTAAAGGACGGCTGAAGGGGTGACTGAACACCCTTCGACCGTCCCTTACAACCTTTACTGTTAGTTCTCTGACCCCGTCACGTGTAGTGACTTCGTCTGTGTTGAAAAGGTTTAAAGTTAGGGTGTCCTCAGTACCCAAGGTTAAAAACTCCGGATATTTAAGTTAGTTGATTTGAGATACGTTGATTCAAAGATTGTTGCCTTATGATGCACTATTTTGCCCGGCTGAATGTTATAAACAATTAGATACAAGAGTTTTAATATAGAGACATTATTATTCAGTGTTGCGTTTTTCTGTTTTGAATGACTTGCCTCCAGAAGTTGTGGGTGCTCCAACATGGAGGTTTTTAAGAAGAGGTTGGACAAGCATTTGTGTGAAATGGCATAGGGTTTCCTGCCTCAGCAGGGGGTTGGACTAGAAGACCTTCAAGGTCCCTTCCAACTCTGTTATTCTGTTGTTCTGAACAAATTGTGTTTTGGATAAAAGAAGTTGTAAAATTTAAAAAAGTGAAGCTAGTAGAAAGAAGGCAAAAATGCTTTTTTTTTTGCACTTTCAAATGTACTTTTCCATGGCATACTGAAGCTCATATTATCATTTTCATATGTTATGAGAATGGTGGACATGCCAAACTTCTCAGTTAAATCTAAAATGAACTAATTAGAACAGTGTTTCTTAAACTTTGCAAGTCCACCAAGCAATTTGGATCACAAACAGCCCCTTATAAAGAATACCTGTCTGTTTCAATCAATTGGTCAATGAAAGGAAGATCGAAATGAAACATGCTTTAATAATACACTTTTTCCCTTTAACCTCTCAGCTTTAAAAACGTAATGGGATGTATAAGAATGCAATCTGGAATATCATTTATGAATTTTAGAATCAGTCTGACAATGAGTGTGTTTCAATGTTTGGTCTCCATTGTAGTGAATGCTGAAAACCCTCTTTTATAATGCTATAATGAGTGTGTTTCAATGTGTGTTTATAATGCTATAATGAGTGTGTTTCAATGTTTGGTCTCCATTGTAGTGAATGCTGAAAACCCTCTTTTATAATGCTATAAATATAATAATAATAATAATAATAATAATAATAATAATAATAATAATAATAATAATAATAATAATAATAATAATAATAATAATAATAATAATAATAATAATAATAATAATAATAATAATAATAATAATAATAAAGAAAAAGATAGTAGGATTTCCGGTGCCTTCTCACTTAAAAGCATACACTCTTTTTAAACAATGATTTTTCCCAGTTAGTTCAGAATGTTTGATGCGGGCCTCAAAAACGTTCTTGACAAGATGAAAGCAATAAGGCGCACATAGGTTAGGAAGCACTAAGCTAAATGCTAAAATACTTCAGTTTAATTCTCTAGTTTCAAATCTGAAGAATTTTTACATATCGTATCATTAGAGATCAAGAGAAGATTGTCACTCCACCTTGGCCTCTCTTTAGAGCAAGAAGTGAGATGATGTACACAGCATGGTGTAATAAGCCATGCACAAGCTTAAATGAAAAAGGAGATGGGAACAGGTGAAAAGCTTGCCTTTAGGATTCTTGGTGTTCCTTTAGCATAGCCACTAAATCTAAGACCAAAGCAGTTTTACATAGCTGATTAAATGTGGCATGTGCTTATTAAGATCTGGACATATTAATGGTTTTAGTAAACCTAAGCAACAGATGAATCTGTTTTTAAGAGTGTGAAGTAAGTGGCATTGCTTTGGCCGGGCTTCTTTACAAGAAGGACTAAGAGTATCAGTTTCTTGTAGGTGTGTTGTGCATGTATGCACATCTACTGAATTTAACTTCTCACTGAGTGCACAGCTGTTCCAAAGGCTCTACTTTACACCAGTAGTATTGCCTTGCCATTTGCCCCTCACCCAGATCTTGCTTTAAAGAGCCTTCAAAACCTGGCTCTGCTCCCGGGCCTTAGGCTAGGGTGAGCTGCAAGTCCCTTGGGTGTTATATGGCTCTGCTTGGAGGCTGACATATGCATTCAACAAACAAATAAATAAATAAATAAGGAAGCAAGCACTAGGACTGAGTAGTTCCTGAAGGGTGAAGAGGGATCATACTAAAAAATAAGAGAGATGATACTACGTAAAGGCCCATACGTGGCTGTTGCTTTTCTTTTGATCAGCAATTTTACGTAAGTGAGTTGAGAGCTTTCCCAAAAAAACACTTTCTGTTCACTATAGATTTGGGGCTGTTTTTCAGCACCAAAGGTTACAGGTAGTCCTCAATTTATAACAATTGGTACTGCAAAATTTGTCATTAGGTGGTACAGTTGTTAAGTGAGGCATCATGTGACTGCACCCAATTTTTACAATCTTTTTTTGCCATAGTTGTTAAGTGAAACATCACATGGACTGTCACTTGCCCTCTTCCCAGCAGGTTTCCCTATAGACTTTGCTTGTTGGAGGCCAGGGAAAGTTTCCAATAGTGATCAGGTGACTGCAGGACATTGCAACTATCATAAGTACAAGCTGTTTGCCAAAGGTTTAGATCAGGGGTAGTCAACCTTGGCTCTTTTATGACTCGTGGACTTCAACTCCCAGAATTCCTGAGCCAGCTAAGCTGGCTCAGGAATTCTGGGAATTGAAGTCCACGAGTCATAAAAGAGCCAAGGTTGACTACCCCTGGTTTAGATCATGATCATGCAACCGTGGTGTCACTGAGATAGTCGTAAGGCTGAGGATCAGTTGTAAGTCACTTTTTCCAGTGCTATTGTAACTTCAAATAATTACTAATGAATGGTTGTAAGTTGAGACTTACTTGTATAGACAGTACTTGTCCTCCCTTCCTATTAATTTTCTTTAAATATTGTAAATTTATTATTTTGATTAAGTCTTGCTTATAGTTTTCTTTCATATTTTGCATTGTGAGTAGAGGAAAATCCTAGGTATATATATAAAAAGTGAAACTAAATCTGCCCTTAATATATAATTTTAAAGCATTCCTAAGTACTCTTTTAACAACACTGATTCAAAAGAGGTTGTTACATGAAACAACCACCAACTTTTTAGTAGATAGATCCAAATCATTCTTCTCCAGGGAATATTTTACATTATTTAGCCTAAGAGAAGTTTATTACAGGTCGACCTTGAGATACAACTGGCTGATGTATACAACTTAATGGCTGTTTGAAGTTATGACAGACCTCCCCTCAAAGTTACATATAACCTTTCTTTCGAAGTTATGGCAGCTGCAGCACTCCACCGTCATTCGCCCTTACACTGACCACAGGGACACTGCAGCGCCCCCTGCCGCTCTCCCCAACATCCTGCTCTAATGCAGTGGTTCTCAACCTGTGGGTCGGGACCCCATTTGGGGTCGATCTACCATTTCACGGGCGTCGCCAAGCAAGGCTGTCCACCATTTTTTTTGTCCGCCATTTTTTTTGTCCGCCATTTTTTCCCCTTTTCCAGCGGATGCCTTACCTCCCTTGGGCTGGGCCAGCTGGTGGTCGGCCTGCTCCGTCTCTGCCGCTTGCCAGCTACGCCTCGGCCGGCGCAGGGGGCGGAACCACGCATGCGCGGCGCTCCCGGGCAGGGAAAGTCCCCAACTTACGACCGGTTGGGTAGTCCTCGACTTACGACCAGTTTAGTCCTCGACTTACGACCGGTTTAGTCCTCGACTTACGACCAATTTAGTCCTCGACTTACGACCGGTTGGGGTCGCGGCATTAAAAAGGTTGAGAACCACTGCTCTAATGGGACTCTGCAGTGCTTGAGCCTCCTCCCCATGCCTCCTGGAAACAGCCACCGTTTTCAGCACTGGCACACACAATTCCTGGCAGAAATGGTGGCGGCTGCTTTCAGAGCTTTCTGCTCTGATCAGCTGGCCAAATGCGAGACTGCAAACTCTCCTAAGCTTTGGGGAAGCCAGCCGCCTATATGCAAAGGTGACAATTTTCAGGATGAGCTTCCCCAAAACTTTCCCTTGCTTTGATCCCATCTCTCCTGCAAAAAAGCCACATTTCTTCAATAAAGAAAATACAAAAAGCTGTGAAGGACAGAATTGTTGATCTTTCTCCTCTTCCCCATTAAGGTGCTGAAACTAAACTCTCCGGCCTCTGCCCTCCAAGCTCAATCCCTTTTAACCATCTAATTTGCTTAATTTGCTGGAAAAAGGGCGACAAAATCTATGTGTTATTTACCTCGGTCAGTCACCGCCAGACTGAACAGTAGAGGAAAGGAAGGAAGGAAGCAAATAAAACCTTTCTATAGCTTGTTTGCCTTGAAGAGCTCAAGAAAAAGTTCAGCTCTAAAGAAAAAGCGGTTAAAGCACAAATGTGCACCAAACAGCTATGGCGGAAGCTGGGTCCTCAAGGAAATTAGGCAGGTAGCAAAAAGCTTTCCAAAGTTTTCCATGCTGGGTGGCAGGCCTCCCCCACTCATGAGATATCCCATGTTTGTTTTAACGACCTGTCCATTCATTTCTACCACCGTAGTTCCTCTAACCCGCACACATACACAATTTCTTCCGACAGTGTGGATTACTAACGGTGATGAACGCTGGCATTACTCGTCCGAGGTAATGTCAGTAATACAGTTCCTGATGGACACTAGGATGATACTTCGTTAAAATCCCGTTTAACATTGAAAAAGTAGTAACGTGTCGTGTAATAGTTTTAATATATGCACAAGGATTTCTCAGCAAGTCATGCTAGGTACTTGGAAGCATTTTGAATTTTTGCTTTGAGTTTGGAAAAAAAGTGCTAAGTTGTGTTAAACATATCCGCACATAATAATAATGATAAAGTTGGAAGGGACCTTGGAGGTCATCTAGTCCAACCCCCTGCTCAGGCAGGAAACCCTATACCATGCTATACATGCTCACCATCACTGGTTAAAGAGTAAACAGAGCAAGACTGGCAAAAAAGAGAAGCTAAGGTGAGCTGATGCATGTATAGTCATGCTGTCACTGGGACTACTTATTAGGTTTGTACTTCTTTTTTTGATCCCCTGGCATTATAAACGCTTATATGGAAACACATCATGTACTTAAGGCAATTTAAGTGTTAATTATTGTAAAAGCAGTTTCTTTGTCCCACATAGAAATACCTATCACAGCTTGCAGAAGAGAATCTGAAGATGAATGAAAAAGAAAACAGCTCAGCCCAAGATGATACTGGAATTGTCCCTCACTTCGAGGAGAAAAGGCTATGATTTTTTTTTTTATAATCAGGTTGGTAACTTGCTGATTTGTTTGCTGTTCTCAGTGATGCACCTTTAGTTTGCACTTTAGCAAAGAAAGGAAATCATTATTAGCTTTTTCAGGCAGCGACACTGAGAGCACCATTAAAAATATAATCCCTGCAATATAGTAAAGCACAAGTGACCTATCTAAAAGTAGTAGCATCCATTTTTCCATAATGGATACTGTTCTTTCTAAATCAGAATTCTCAGGGATTTTTCTCCGTGTTACTTGTGTTACAACCTCAGCTGGTCCATGAATGAGGATTATTTGGAAAAGAAACGATCTGAATGAAAACTTTGCATTAATACTTTTGTTCAATGACCATGCTCAGTAATATACTACAGCTTACATTACATGGCGGGTGGTCCTGGACCTACAACCATTTGTTTGTGACCATTCAAAGTCACTGAATGGCACTGAAAAAAGTGACTTGACTGGTCTTCAGACCATCATAGCATCACATGGTTATGTAACAAAATTCAGGTGCTTGGCAACTGGCATGTATTTATGACAGTTGCAGCATCCTTGATCATGTGATCACCATTTGTGACCTTTCTAGCCAGCTTCCAACAAGCAAAGTCAGTGGGGGAAGCTAGATTCACTTAATGACCACATGATTCACTTAACTGCACTGATTTGATTAACAGCTGTGACCAAAAAGATTGTAAAATTGGGCATGAGTCACTTAATAACCACCTTGCTTAGCAATGGAAATTCTGGTCCAAACTGTAGTTGTAAGTCAAGGACTTTATGTACAGTAAGATATTATGTTACTGCTGATAATACTGTTTCTTTTGGGACAGCACTGTCCTTGTCTGGTATAAGGTAGTTCGTGATATATATTTTCAAAGAGAGTTTTCATTAGTACTGAAATGGACAGAATTAGAGAAACCCTTCTATTTTCAATTCGTGAACATATGTAGAACTCTAAAATTTTCTAAGGAAAGGTCTAGCATACTATGACTCATGTTTTCCCTGCTAGTCTTATTTTCTACTTTCTTCCATGTTTCTTAAAGCTAATTTCTTTTAAAGCCATTGTTTGCTAAATCCTAATATATTTGCACAGGAATACAATAATACTTCTAGATGAGAAGCTGTTCAAAAGCCTATCTATGCTGCTGTAAGTGCCACGATGGACTGGCACATATAAAACACACATTTTTAATTACTTCAGTAAATCAATCATATTTTAACAAATCAAGTGTTCTGATATGAATCAACTAAATATTACAGCCTCATTAGAACTGTCTTAAAATTTAATATTCATAAATTTTACATTAATTATATAACTGCCCAACACATTGTTTGTGTGTGAAAAGTTCATATAGATTTCACCACATAAAGCATGTATTTATTTGCTTAAGTGGATACAATAACTGCTGGTAACTGCCATCATAAAAAGATACTATAAAATACACCAGATAATAGTTCCTGAACCATATTGAAAGAGCAAGTATAATTGTTCTAGAGCCTTGTTTAGATAGTTTAAAAAAATACAGAAAATATGTAATGGAGTTATTCCACCATTTGCTACTTTTAAAATTGTCTAATTATCCCGTGAAATCTTATTTTTTATTGTAATTTAAAAAATCTGTAGTTTCAAGATCTCCCAATCAAAATCTGATTTTATTATCCGTTTTATTATCATCCTTTTCTTAGTTGCAAGGCAGAGGAACCAATATTTTCATTTCTTTTATTTTTAATAAGTCTGTGCCATTAAAGAATTAAATATCCACATTCCTGTCTCAACTTTAATATAATAACAGACACAACACATTTCGGAATCATAAACTAACTACACTTGAGATCCTAGCCTTTGGCTTGACATTGTAAAATAAAGGCATGCATATTCTTAAAGCACATGCCACATTTCTTCTATTTCAGTAATACTGGTTAATTAAAACATTTTATCCAAAGTTTAAAACTATCTAAGGCAGCTGACAAAATATTAAAATAAGGAATAATAACAAGGAGAACTAATATATCTCTATTTCTGGTATTACAGAAAAGGCACAGTTGGTCTGTAGGGGGAACATAACTATATTTATGTTGTTTTAACGTAAATCTTAGAGAAAACAATCTCACAGACAGCGAAGAATGCATATTCCAGCACAAGGTAGAAAGATGGGGGAATGCTTATGCAACCAAAATGGCAAACTTGCTTTGGAACTGTTACACTAAAAACCTGAAATTTAAAAAGACTTGCTTTTCCCCCTGCCTTATTCTGTACAATCGTATTTATGAGAGAGAGGGAGGGGGACGGGGTGGGTGGGGTCTTGCACAGGGTAGCTTGAAGAGAATCCAAAGACTTTATTATAAGTATGTAAAAAGTTTCCTTATTTATAAACAATTGCAAAATATTTGAAATATTTTAAAATCTTTAGGTCTTGCAACACCTTGTCTCAGCCTATTACTTTTTATGGTTTCATATCACATACCTTTCATTTTAAAGCTAAGGAATCTAAGCCCTGAGGCATAAAACTTGACATTTTTTTTTTACTGACTGCAACTCATATTTAGCATTAGGCTTTCAGGGTTTCTACGTCAAGTCTGATGTATTGAAAAATACTTGAACTGGACCAGATGTTATTATTTATTAATCATATAGTCTTGTTTAATTGCTGGCTTGTAAACATTTGAGATGTGTCAGAGGTTTAACCAGGAAGCAGCACACATTTTTATTGTCTATGTATCTTGATCTATTGATGCAATTGATTTCCAATTGCATTTGTAAAAATAAATGAATGATTGTAATAAAGATAATTTTTAATGACTGGTGAGCTTTGGTATCCACAACAACCTTCTTCTGGTCTCCTGTTCTTGTGCAGCCTTTATTAAGCTTTCAATAACTCTGACAAATGCTTGGATTGGCTGTGTCCAGACTACGTGCGCAAAAGAACTCTGGACTGGAGTTTAAACTTCAACGTGAAATCATAATCAACTCTAATTAAATGCTAGCTTTTGTGTGTCAGCTGGAGTGATGATAGCTGTGATTTATGTAGAAGTGGGCTGATGTGGTATAATTTTTCTCTTGATTTTAGACTGGAGGCAAACATCTGGATGATTTCATGTTCTGTTTCAACCTTCCTGTATTTACCACCAATTTTAAATAGGGAAAAACAATTTACTGGCAGAATGTTTTACTTATAGCCGGTGCTTTTTTTCTAAAAAAAAAAAAAAAAAAAAGGTGCCGGAACTCTCATCTTGTTAATCTTTTATTTATATAATTTTATTTATATATTTATTTATACAATTTAACATAAATTATATTTTAATAAAGTAGATGCAAAAGTAACATTAGATAAATAGCACTGGAGCCGTCACCAAAAGCACCCTAAAAATTACTTGTAGGAGGAGGAAAATCAAATCTCAGTAATATTGTTAATTGTTTTTGTAGAAAGCTCGAATCACACTGTTGTTACTTCCAAAGAAATTCATCATTTGAATTATGTTCTTGTCCCAAAGGTTAAAGGCTTTAAAGCATTACTAGAAGACAATTCCATTTTTTCTGTTTTAAATTTAGCATTTCTGAAGGGTCCTTGGTGCTCTCTGAGCTTGTTTGTTTTCTTGGAGACCTTTCATTACCCAAACTAGGTAACATCATCAGCATCTCTGTTGTGAATGGTCTGCCCCCTACTGGTTAGTTCATTTATTACAGGAACAGTATACAAATTTTAATTTTTCTTTGAACATATATAAAAAATATCAGTAATGTATTGTTTTACACAGCCCAGTAATTAAATTACCATTTTAAATAACTCAGTCAGTGCCAATTTATAATAAATTGCTACATATTCAGTAAAGGATTACTGATTTAGAGACTGATGCTCATTATATGCAGGTATGCATTAAATTGTGTACAGTCAAACATTTAATATTTCTGTATTCTGGGTTTTAGATTTGTGGAAATTGTTTGTTCCCCTTTTGTATCTTTTTTAAAGGTAAACATTTTGAAATGATTGTGCATATTGTAAGCATTTCAAACTTTTGTATAGTTTTAAATTTTAATACCATATTGCTACCCAAACCACCTTTATATTTAATCAGTTGTACTGTTACATATAGTTAATGTGGATATTGTCATACCTTTTTATCATTTTCCTGTTTTATCACATTAAAAAACACACTTTGTCCATAATATTTGGGGACTTCTGTAATTGCACCAAAAGCTTTTGTGGGCTGTATATGACCCTGGGGCTCCAGATTTTTACATCTGCTCTAGAATCTCTGCCTAACAGCGTATATGTGAGTTCTGGTAGTATCTTTATTTATTCAGCTGCTATTTTTTCTGCTCACAAAAAGACTCTCTCTCTCCAACCAAGTTACTAACTTATCAACTGCAGTGATTTACTTAACAACTGAGGCAAGAAAGGTCATAAATTGGGCAAAAAACTCACTTAACAAAGCCTCAACAACATAAATTTTGGGCTCAATTGTGGTCGTGATAAAGGAATACAGGACTGCCTATATTCCTTTCAGAGCAAGCAGCATTTTTAACAACACAGAAAAAGAGTAACATACATGAAGCCAGAAAAATAAAACACATCGATAAGAAAAAAGAAAACAGAATATTGCTACACCAAACCACTCACTCTACTTTTCCATACCCTTCTTTCTTTGTGAAGCATCCTTGTTTCTACCACATCCAGGAAGTAATTTATTCCCTTTCTCATTTTTTTCCTTTTCCTTTTTTGAGACTCTTTGTTAATTCCATCTAAATTTGTCACCTTCCCCTTCCTTTTAAAGCCATGCACTCTTTCTTATGTATTTATTTTGTGATTTATATTCATTCATTATATAACCAAACCATCTCACATATTTTTCATGCTGGTCATTCAATTTTGTATTCAATACACATTCATTCAGTAACCAGTCATTCTTCACCCCATTTTTCTTCTTTTATTACATTCTTATATATCCCAGTCCAAGATTTAGTTTACTTGTAAATTTTTCCTGACATATCCAACTCTCATTTTCAGAATAGAAGGAAGCACATATGCACAGCCATTTTTGCTTCTTTAACAAACATTAATTCTTCACAATAGATCACATATTACTAGTATATCCCCAAATAGCTCTAAGGACAGCCCAAGTGTTTCTTACACATTTATCCATAGACAACCAAAGAGATGTTGCCTTATTCTCGAAGCCAGCATTTCTTAACCTTAGCAACTTAAGATGTCAGATCCTCAACTCCCAGAATTTCCCTACCAGCAAGCTGATACTCCATTTATTCTTACACACGCTTTACTATCATCACAGACTGCTATTCATGTATTCAGCAGTCAACCTTGCATTTCCTATTTGTGCAAAAGGTTCCATAATTCAGGCCGATTCACTTTTTCCCTTTTTCTAAATCAGTAGTCATATAGTCACCTTTCTTTCTTATATCCATGGACTTCTCAAATGTTCAGAGACAAAAATCTGCTCAGCTCTGAAGCCTGCTTCAGGTTGGGGGAAAAAATTGACATGATTTCAGCTATAGTTGGCAACACTACATTGAGAAGAGATGGAAATGGTCCATTGCACATAATTATTGGGCATATTTCTAATTTTATCTAGTCCTTTGGGGGGGGGAAATTGTTTTAAATGGATCTGATTTTCAGGAAAATGGGGGGATCTTCATAATCCCTGCTGGGCATTCTAAATGTTGCTTATTTTCATCTCTTGCACCCTTACTGTCACAACTCAGCCAAACACAGTTAACAAAGCATTCCCTTTACTTTTTGCATTCACATTTGCTCTCTTTGTCTTTGTATAGAACAGGGGTGTCAAACTGCTGGCCCACGGGCCGGATGCATCAGGCCGAAACCACGCCCACCCCATTGCCGGCAATGGAAAAAAAAAGTCGTGATACATTGTGACACGTCACGTGACGTTGCGAATTTGACACTCCTGGTATAGAAGAACAATAATGACATTTTTCTATTAGTCAATCTTAGATGCAATCTTCACCCATAAGTTACACATCTACATTTCTTTAGTGTTTTCATTAAGTTATGCTTTTCTTATTTATTTCATTATTATCATCACTAGCAAATAGGACCATATATAATGCTTTAACTACCCATCATGGCTTTGTTAATCCAGACTTTAGCCTAGATTACACATGCCACATACATGAGGGCAATACTTGTCAACTCTTGATACATTTTGATCTTGTGGCTATTATACCACAAGCACAAAGTTCAGTTTTTCCCCAAACTTGTTCACACATCACCAGAAACTAGTTTAGACCTCATCCTACCAGCTTTGTAGGAGAAGCAATGGCAGAATCTGGGGACAGGGTTAAAAGAGGGATTATCCTAGAATCCCTATATAGCCACAAGCAAACTAAGTCCAACCCCTCCCCTTTGAATTCCATTGACCCTTATCTAACTCCAAGCAGGTCTGTTAATTGATAAGATTCCTATGCAAAGGCATAAGTAGTAATAAATCTGTTTAAACAAGATCTTCACATGTGGACCTGATCTTTCATGCTTGACAAGTTTAGAGGTAAGTCACGAATGTGTCCATACACACAAAAATTATTTACATACTTATTATTAGGAAAAATTGGGGCTGGTATCCTTAGGTTTAGCTGGTAATAAATAGTGCATTGCACAGGATGTATTTGTAATTTCTTTCTGCCTTTTAGGGGAAGATTGTTTAAAATTTAAGAATATCTGTTTTCAGGAAAATATAGCAAAATACACAACAAAAAGAAGGGGGGAAAGGATTGGGAGGAAGTAAATGAGCAAATTTAGTGTGGAGCCACTCATGCTGCTGCACAAAGAAGCTACATAAAATAGAGACAGTTTGGTCTAGTGGTTAAGGCACCAGGCTAGAAACCAGGGAAATGGTGAATTTTGGTCTTGCCTTAAAAGCGTGCAAGTCACCTGGGTGACTGGGCCAGTCAATCTCTCTCAGCTCAAATTGCCTCATAGGGTTGTTGTTGTTGTGGGGACAATAGGAAGAGGAAGGAATATTTGGTATATTCACTATGTTGAGTTATTTGTATATTAAAAAAATGATAATAATTTAAACATCTATAAAATACACAATTCATACCTCTGTGCCAGAGGGAGAATGAAGTTTTAAAATACATACTCTGAAAAAAATATACAGTATTAATGAGCTGATCATGAAGAGCCCATTTCCTGTAAAGTCTAAACTTACCTGACTTGCTGGATGAGTCCAAGAGATTTTACTGCCTGAGGCAGAGAACAGAATGCTCTCCTGCTCTGTTTTACTTTGGCTGCATTACACACCCATAGTTAACAATCATGTTGACTTAATTAATCCAATTTTCTTGGCTCACATAACTTCTTCATGTGATTTCATACATATTGATTCTGTTGTACAGGTTGGAATATTCCAGAGTTTTAAATGTTTGGTGGGAAAACTGTATAGACAGTAGCATTTCTTATGTAACAACAGCCTCGGGAAACCACCTCAGTTCTTTTCTAATTGCCACAGCAATAATATTTAATATTTCAGAATTATGCCATCCAACTTTTATTGGTTTTTTGGCCTTCCAGGCCCCCTTAGAAAGTGTTAATGTATCAGATTAACTACAATAAGCTTTTATTTAATTGAAGACGGTGTTCAAAACTTCCAGTAGGCTTAGTATTAGTTAGCTATCTTTTTTAAAAACAATTGGCAAAAACCTATGGTGGGCCAATCTGTGACTGAGCCACTGCAAACAGGATAGTTTTTCCCCCACCCTTTTTGCCCCTGTACATTGTAATAGAGAGTGAACAGGAAAACCGCTCTCAAAAGTAGGTGCAATTGGAGTAGATCGATTCTTTAGTCTACTCTTAAGTTCTTTATTTTCAAGGAACAAGAAAGGATAGACTTCAGGTTTGGACAGCATGAGAATTTCTGGCTATGGTTTGTTAATTTATCATTACCTTGGGTACTCTTTGTTTACTCAGTTATCA